TTGGGAAAAGGAAAGTCTTCTCATTGAGAAACAAAACAAGAGAGAACCTAAAACAATAGCTAGCGTCGGGCTCAGCCCCATCTCGCCGAATTCACACAGCCCGGGGCGTCGAAAGGAGCTGGCTCCGACCCGCTTTCCCAATCCAAGCAGTTCTAAGCCTCCCGCAGGTGTTCAAATCGCGAACAAGGTGCACGGGCGCCGCAGACCCGGCGCCATCAGCACCCGCCGCGCCCCCACCGGGCTGTGGCTACGGTGGCCGATAAGATCCAGGGACCGGCGAGGCGGAGAGAGCATCAGCGGTGAGTGTCCTCCCGGGCGGCAGGTGCCACGTTCACCTGGGCAGGGCTTGCGCAGATGCTTCTCCAACAGCGACTCCTCCAGCAGGAACTCGAACCAACAGGTCTGCGGCGGGGTGCAGGGCCGGCTGGAGGTGGCCGCCTCCCGGTCCGCCGCCTCCGCGCTCATCCTGCCCCCGCCGCCGCTCCCTCCAGGGGCGCTTCCCGGCTCCAACCTGACACGCGAAGGCGGGCCCCGGGCCTGTGGCCTGCGGCACCAGCCAAGAGGAAGGCCGCTGAGCAAACGTCCAGAAAACTCACACACTCAAAATGGCGCCACAAGCCAACCCTTCTTAAGACGCTGGACCAGCCTCCTGCACCGCGCCGGGCCCTGAGCCAATCGTTATTCGAGTCGAAAGGGAAATGGGCGGAGCTATGTTTTTGGTCACGCCTCCTTGTGGTTGCTATGGGAGATGTCTAGGGCGTTGAGACAGCTGGGCTTTTAGCTTCACCTTGGGGTTCAAGAGACCCTCTCCTCCCGGCATCAGTACTGGAATGTGAACTACAGTACTCTAAAAGAGCCGCATCTGTTATATATGTATTTTTGGGGTCATTTTTGTTTTTGAGATAGTCTTTCTACATACGGTAAAAACAAAAAACCAAAAACTTGTAGGTTTCCTTGCTGGGCATGGTGGTGCACACTTGTTATCTTAGCACTCTAGAAGGCTGAGGCAAGGGGATTGTGAGTTCTAGCTCAACCTGAGTAATCTAGCAAGATCCTTGGTCAAAATTAAAAAGTAAAATAAAAAGGGCTGAGGATGTAGACTCCCTCATTCTGCTGTAGCCCACCTACCTGATGTCCCCACCAATTTATTTGCCAATTGCATTGATTTGTGATTTGCTTTTGTTCTGTATTATTACAAATTCATGTAATATCTTCCATGGTAGAGCACGTTATTCAGGGTAGTCCGAATTTGTTCCTTAGCCTTGGCCACTCATTTGACTCAGAATATTCTTCTTTTGGAACAAAGAGCTTTGTTCTGCATTGACAGAACTTTGGGGAACACATTCAAGCCATCGCAACAGTGAGGTTTTTAAACAGGGACTGAGCCGAGCATGGTGGCCCATGTCTGTAATCCCAGCACTCTGGAGGTTGAGACAAGAAGATCACCACCACGAGTTCCAGGCCAGCCTGAGCTATATATAGCAAGACGCTGTCTCAAAAAAAAAAAAAAAAAAAAAAAAAAAAAAAATATATATATATATATATATATATATATATATATATAATGTGTGTGTGTGAGCTGATACTTAGAAAATATCAATAAAAGTCAGCTTTTCTATTTGCGAATCATTTTCTTATACCTAATTCTGATTTCCTCCTACAAACAACCCTGTTACCAAGAGAATTTGCAATACATAATTTGAAAGGGGCGAACTAGTATCGTGGGTTGCACTGCCATCTTATGGCCGATTGGGAGTACTGTCGTTATTTACCTATGACAGATTTCTTGCAGGTATAAATGAATGTGTGACTGGGCTTGCAGTAGGAAATAATCTATTCCTTGTACAAGCCGTTCTTCAATATCTTACTAAATCACATATTCTTTGTTTGCTTTTTTTTTTAACTTTTTATCGGTACTAGGGATCGAACTCACGACCACCTGCTTGCAAGGCAGGTGCTTTTATGCCACTGAGCTAAATCCCCAGCCCCTAAAATCACATATTCTTATTAGGTCCTTCAAAAATAAATCTTTCAAGAGGCAATCAAAGACCCATAACTACCATATTTTTTCCCCCTCTTCTTCCTCTCTGTCCTGCTTTTCCTCCTGCCCCTGCTTCTTCTTTTTCTCAGTACTGAGGGCTGAATCCAGATCCTTTACTGAACTACATCCCCAGCTTTTAAAAGCACTTGTTATATATCTAGAGGCCGTGCCGGGGGGTTTCTCCTGCCTCAGTCTCCCACCATGTCTGGCTTTTATCCTTATAACTTTCATGGCAGCTTCCCTGCCTTTTTGGCCAGTGGGTGCCCCATTACACATTGTCTCTGCAGGGTTGTGCATCCCCTATGGTTCTCTTCTCCTTGTAGCCACCTGTTTAACCAACTTCTGAACTCTTGGTGTGGAGGTTGGGGGGCAGGGCAGAGCAGGGTGGTGCTTATATTGTTTACCTAGTACAGTCCTTGGTACATAGCAAGCACCCAGCAAATATTTTCTGTATTAAAAAATCATTTTATTGAGCAAGTGGCATTGTATTTCACATGCATGTGAATACTTCCCAATAAGCCAGATCTACAGATCCTTAAATTGTCATTAAATCTAAAGCATTATTAAACTGTTTCTAAGACACTTAGGAATCACAGCTACATTGTAGGGATTTTTGTTTTTGGATCGGGGGTCAAACTCGCTACCTCAAGCTTGCCAGGCAGGCACTGATGCCACTGAGCTAAACCTCCGGATTCTTATGTTGTAGGTTTTATACAAGCAATGAACTTAAAAAGCAGTGTCCATGTCTCAAATTTTTGTCTTTGTAGTAATCAGACACCGACTAGTTAGGTAGACACTTGAGGTAGACCTTACTTTTTTTTTTTTTTTTTTTTTTTTTTGTCTTTTTCCTTTTTATCAGTACTGGGGATCGAACTCACTACTGCCTGCTTGTAAGGCAGGCGCTTATGCCTATGCCGCTGAGCTAAATCCCCAGCCCCTGTAGACCTTACTTTCTAAGAGACAGGACAACATGGAGCCAGAGCTACATCTCCAGCTGGGAACCTCGAGTTGCCTTTCTCTGAGCCTCTCTAGATGGTGGCAGATGACCAGGAGGGAACCAGGCTAGATATCTGCAGGGCTCACAGCAGGAGGGTGGAGCCTTTCCCAAAAGCTGGGAGTGCATGGCTTCCACTCCACCGGCCGGACAACTGCAGAACAGGAAATCACAGGTTCTTTAACTTCTTTTCTACTTTCAGGTACTATGCTATCACATTAGAGATTTTGATGTATAAAAACCTCTTTGTATCTTTTTTTTTTTTGCTACTGGGGATTGAACTCACAACCTCATATTTGCCAGGTAGGTACTTATGCAGCTGAACTAAGCCCTGTATCTGTCTATTTAACTAACTAAACTCGATGAGCTTTCCTGATATTCTCAGTAATCAAAAACTTCTCAGTAGCTAGGAAATTCAGGTACTGATATTCTCAGTAACCAAAAACTCAAGGCATGCTTTCGGGATTTTCCTCTAATCTCCTTGTAGTTACCTACTTAAATCTCAGTCACTTTCTCATTGCTGAGACACAACACCTGACACAATTTAAAGAAGAAAAGGTTTATTTTGGCTCAGTTTGTGTATATTTCAGTCCTTTGTCTCTGGCCCAATCTTGGGCATGACAGAGGGGCATGGTGTGGGAGAAACAGCTCATGGCATGGCAGAGAGGAAGCAGATAAATCAAGGGAGAATGGACAACAGAACTTCCAGGCCACACCACAAGGGCCCAACTCCTCCCACCAGGCTTCCCTCCCAACATCACATTCAGCTATAGATGAGCAGCGGCTTAATCCAGCAGCCTAACCCAGGGCCCCGCCTCTGAACACGTGGGGCTTGGGGAGGACATCCAGATATAAAACATAAATTTTCCCAATAGTTTCAGCAGCTAGTAATTTTCATATTACTATTATCATTAGTGTGCCATAGATCCTACTTTTGCTCCTCTATTCGCTCATGCAAATCCACTGCTTCTAGCAAGCTATGGCATAAGCTGAGTCTAAAAAAAATCTTATCAACTCAAATTCAGAATTAGAGCAGATGAGAATGCTAAAAATGTTATTTCTTTAAATACCTTTAAAAATAACTTCTTAGACCACATACACACAAAAGTGGGGAACAGAGATACTGTCTGCAGATTGGCATCAGACCAGAAATGGTTCATTCTAGGTCTTTATCAAGGTAACTGACAATATGATTTTGAAATTTTTATAGCAATTTGACACTGTCTTGACATCCAAGTTAAATGATCAGCATTGCATCTGTAGCTGAGCAAGTATGGAAGAGGTTGGGTCCTGGGAAACTTGAGTTTATCACACAGCATAAATTTTGAATCAGTCCTAAACCGCAGGACCCCACATATCAGTTTGCAATGCACTGGGAAAGCAAAGTGGTTCTGCACCTCAGTTTGAGAAGCACTGTCTCAGAATTTATGTGAAAGGAATTCTCAGCCATATTTAACAATGATTAAACCCCTTGTACTCCATAAACAGCAAAATCCATGAAAGATCTCTATGAGGAAAGTAATTCATTTTGTCATTTTAGGAAATATTAGAGGTGGGCATAATTGGTTCCTACTTGTTGAAGGCAAAGCTGACAGAGAGGAGGGAAAGAGGATGCCCTACAACTTATATCCATGCTTTCTCCACAAGTCTGTCTACCTGGTGGACTGAAGAGTGGCAGCCAGCTGTGATGCCACATCTGCCCACAGTCATAGCAATCTCCAAATCCTTAATGTCTAGAGGAAGAGGTCTTCTTGGAAATAGCTCAGTGGTACAGCAGTTGCTTAGCACGTGCAAAACTCTGGATTCAATCCCCAGCACTCCCTCTCACCACAGTCTTCAATATGGTTGCAATCTATATATCTGTACTATGGGAGAAAACACAGGGCTTTAAATGGATAAATTGTATGTCATGTGAATTATACTTCAAAAAAGTCATTTAAGAAGCTCATACATGAATAAGACAACTTAAAATTCTGAGAATTTTTATTATGATAAAGTAGAACAAGGAGGCAATTAAGTAGGAAATAACTTTTTTCTTGATAGAAGTATACTGCATGTTATAAAATCTGAAATAAACTAGTTTACAATCCAATTCCTTTAAAGAATTTATGTTCCCTGAAATTAAGTTTTATACTTCTGCAAAGATATAACCTTAGTTATAGGAGGGACATGTTTAATCTAATAGTCATTGTATAGATGTTACTCAGAGGACAATATGCGTAACAGTAGCTGTATTCACCTTTGTTAAACAGCTGTACAAAGACATTATCTTAAAATATGAAGGGTAGTTCAGGAAACAGTTCAAACTATCCATCTGGAATGCATATTTCTTTGTGATACCATTATTCCACTAAGTAAATACATTGGTCATGAGTTAAGTGGTTCTCTTACAGAATTGCATATAGGGTTATATATGCCAACATTAAGATATTCCACATTCTAAGTGATTTAAAAACAAAAATGATTTGAAGACACCTTTATACTAAATTTCCACAAATTTGGTTACAGAAGGTACTTTTTATTACAGAAAACATGTAAGTATGCTCAGAAACTTTAGTAGACAAAAAATAACTGAGTCATATTCCTTTGCAATTTTCATATCTAATTTTTTACAGTATTAATCCTACACATAAAAACTTAATATCAGTAGAAAATGGTTTGATTTTACTCACAACTTTCAAAACCATAGCTTTAATACATACTCAGATCTAAGATCAATAACCAAGATTATATACTTTTTTTAAGATTATATACTTTAAAAATTGGACAAATGAAGAAAGAATACACTGAGATGTTAATCAAGAAATAGTTATTTGCTGTATAAAAGATTCTTATATATATAGAACAATTATAATTACTAACACAGTCCTTTAAATATTCATGCATTAAAAATAAATTTAGCAAAAAAGCAACTTACACACATTTAAAAACACCAATCAATTGAAAATAAGCCCACAAAAAGCATGAAAATTTTTAATAGTTCAAAAATGGAAGAGACCTAAAACAACTGATTACTCAAGAGACAAAATAAAATAGGCATTAAAGAAATTAATAATCTATTTTTAAGCATTTTTTTAGCGGCAAGTTGCAGCACAGTTGGACTTCTCTTTCTGCTACTCGCTGACTCACTCACATATAGGAGTGTCACAACACTGACACTGGCAATTTCAACCAGTGCCTTTGAAAAAAAATGCTGCCTACACACAAAAAAAGTAATGTGTATGTAGGTAGTGTATGTATGTGAAGAAAAGTTAGTGCCCCAGTAGAATACATACTCCTTCAGTTGCAAAACTCTACTACTTGAACAAGAAGTACCAAGACACTGATGCCAAAGTTAGAGAAATATAAATCAGCAGAGTTGATTTATACATGTTATCAAGTAATTTTATTTTTACACTGTTTGGCATTTGGGAAGCTAAGTAAACTAGAAAGCTAGACATCCTTAGCAAAGATTTGCTTATCACTAGCTGACATTAATAGTGACAACAGCTGAGGGAGGCTAATTAAAAAATATTTTGCAGTGCTGGGGATTGAACCCCACTCTTTTATTAAGTTACCAATGTTTTCTTATGGAAAAGAAAATGAGAGAGAGCGCCAGGGATATGGTTCAGTGGCACAGCACATGCCTGGCAAATGTGAGGTCCTGAGTTTGATTCCCCAAAGCAAAAAAAAAAAAAAAAAAAGTGAAATGGGAGAGAATATTTTTGGGAATATAAAAAGTAAACTTAGAATAAACAAGTTAAGGCACTTAATTCAATGACTTGCAATATCAAGAAGAAAGTATGTTTTTGTTGATCTATACAAAGCCAATAAACAATGCCCCTTTAATAGATTTGGGGGGGTACTGGAAATTAAACTCATGACCTTGCGCTTGCCAAGCAGGCAATGTGCCACTGAGTTATATCACTGGCAATAGATCTTTATTATCAAACATAATAACTGTACATCACCAAGTGTAATTTCCTGCAGATCATTTGTCACTCTACAAATAAGAAAATAAATGCTTCCAACTCAGATTTCCAGTACAGTACTATTATTTTAGCTACAATTAAAAACAGAAGCAAATAAGCTTGTCTCTCAAATATTATTTTTTATGAAGCTTGCTTTTTTCTTTCAGGTGATACTGAATGAAAATTCACTACAGTACTTAAAAAAAAAAAAAACTCAATTAAGGGGGGGCTGGTGATTTAGCTCAGTGGCATAAGCACCTGCCTTGCAAGCAGGCGGTCTTGAGTTCGATCCCCGGTATTGGAAAAAAAGAAAAAAAAAACCTCAATTAAGAATTTCTCTAAATTTAATTAAGGGGGTTGACAGAAGCAAAATCTACATACTTATAACAAAACATAACAATCAAAACTAATTCAGCACATGTGATAATACAGGCCAATAAAAATTTAATTAAATATTTCACACTACGTAGAAAGTAGATTGTTCTACTTCCCCTTCAAAATATGCAAGCTGACTTTTACATTACATTTTTTACATGCTCTAATCACAAGTATGACATGTGACAATTCACTCTGTACTTAGTTATGCTAATATTTTCATAAAGTTTGATGCTAAATATGAGTCACTACTAAGATGTACACAGTCACTTGAAGTACATTGCCTGCAACTATTTGAATTCAGTTAAAGCAATGATATAAGTCTGAAATGAAAACCAACAAACAAATGCATCAGCTACATGCACCATCAAACAGTTCATAAGCTCCAAAAGAGCAGAGCATCTTTAGTTACTCTAAGAATATACCTTAGATTGTGTGTGTGTGTGCGTGTGTGCATGCATGTGTGTGTGTATTTTAGAAAATAAAATCAATACTCTGGTAAGTTTGAAAATCTGTTCACTGAACAGGTATATAAGGCAAAACTAATCAAGCATGTCATCTTATTAAAAGGATACATCTAAAGCTCTATCTATCCTGAATCTCCTTCAAAGGCCAAATTAGTTATTGCAGAATTCTTTCCACAAATGATTGCAAATACTTAAACACAGCACTTACAGTAAACCTGTGTTTTGAAGTTTTCTTATTTTTTTCTGGATGTTCAAAATTCTGTCAGATTCATATATAATATCATTTGTATTTTAAAATAAGTGTATCTGCATACAGAGGTATGTTAATGGCATCTACATATACCTTAGAAACCAGTGTACATATCCTTATTTTGATAGTTTTAAGTTTTTACTTAATACTTACATAGAATACATGTGAACAGATTATATACTCTATTATCTGTATTTTTTAAAAATACCTGAACAATATTCTTTAAAATGCCCATTTAAAATATATATTTTATATATAGATAACCAGTTATTATTTTATGATTAAATTGCTATTGAATTAATAGTGTTAAGTATAAAAGATAATCTCTTAAATAGACAGATATAAAACAGTAACATTCAATAACCTATACTATGTATTACTAAGAAAGGGTTCACTTTTATAAGCAGCAGATGAGAGCAGTAGCAAGGAAAGTTATGGATATATCTTTATGTATATCCTTAAAACACTTTCTATAATTTTAATTTAAATGTCACAAATGTTTAACCAACATTTAAATTAGTTTTTACTGTACAATTTCAGTCCATTAAACACCTTCAGCAACCTGCTTGAAGAATATTATATTATGTAATTATATCACATTATGTACTTATTAAAATTGTTTGAGAAATACACTGACCCTGAACACATTCAAATTCAAGATCAATATATAGAATGAAGATTTATGAGGAAATGCTGAAATAAGTGAAATCTTAAGGAAGTAACTGTCTGAAATATTGCAGTGATAGATCTGACTTTTTATTCAAGGACAGTAATGTTTGATCTTTTATTTTTCACAAAACACAGAGCCCAGTTAACAGCAGGGGTAAAGGGGCAGCAGCGTTAAGTGGCCACAATTTGTGGTTTGCTCTGCATCGGATACCAGACAGGTAGAAGAAAACCACTTTTTACTTCAGGTACAGCAAGTCTGTGAAATAAAGGCTCTGTTATTTCTCAAGACTGGAAGGATATCACAGTGTTAATTTTATATACAAAGTAGGATCTGTTCCAGTATACCCTGGTGAAATAATTCACATATGGAGAATAGTTAATTTTGACCTCATGACAAAATCGTCCATATTTTGAGTAAGTTAACTTGTCACCTTCTTCACAAACCACCTATCAAAAGACAAGAAGTATAACATTAAAAAGCTTACTGATCCATGTACAAGTGATTGTAGTTACACTGCTAAACACAAACTACAAAACATCTCACATGAACCTCTTCCAAAGTGATTGATGATACCCACTACACTCCAGAAATTCTCAGCCATGAGAAACCAGTAAAGTGTATTCAATTTTTAAGATTTAATCCTAAAATATAGTAAGCACTGTTTTCATAAACCTTTATGATTACTTTGAAGAACTACATATAGACTGTACCAAAGCTGAGAAATAAACACATTGTATTTCTACTGTGTATTCAAAACTCTTCTCATGTAGAACTGATTCATAATTATCTAGTAAACAACTAAATTTGTGTACAGACTTAGCTTATGCAAACCCCTACACCCTTACTTAATATTCAGTAAGACAGCTTAGCTTGCCTGAAGGGTTTTTTAAAATTATAAATGCTGGGGCTGGAGATTTAGCTCAGCGGCATAAAGCGCCTGCCTTGCAAGCAGGCAGTCGTGAGTTCGATCCGCGGTACCGATAAAAAGGAAAAAGAAAAAAAAATTATAAATGCTAAATATTATTGTAATGCATATGAAAGATGTCAGAGCACCAACTTTAAAAAGATAGATTCTCTAAAGTCTAGGCCTGGCATTACATGAAAGAAGTGGCTTGATCTTCAAAATAAGAGCAGAAAGGTAGGCAGCCAAGAGCAGAATAGAAAGGTTCCAGGCAGCAGATAGCTATACAACAGTAATTATTCCATTCTGTCACCAATAAAACAAAGATTACAGCCATCAGCACCAACAGAGAGCCAGGCATAATGGCATAGGCTTGTAATCTCAATACTCAGGAGGCTGAGGCACGAGAACTGCTGTTAAGTTCAAGGCCAGCCTGGGCTACACATTACGTTCAGGGCCAGTCTGAACTGCACGGTGAAACTCTATCTCAAAAAACCAAAAAAAGTACCAACAGAGAGAATTCAAAATATATGCAACATAAAACAATTTTAATAATGCAAGCTTAGGGAGACATAAAGAAAACAATTGTCAATTTCTACAACTAATTTCTTATCATCACTGCTCAAACTCATCAAACTGCTCTTAGATGATAAAATAAAGAACTATGACTATTTAGGAAGGGACAAAAAAAATCTTGCCCGCAACCTTAACCCAAATATGCACTATCATACCTCCTATTATCAATTTCTTATAAATAAAGGTATCCATTTCAGGCAACACTAATTAAAGACACAAACTCACTGCCAGCCAAAAAGGGAGCTGAAACTGACATAGAAATTAAGATCCAACTAAATTCTAACTAAAATAGCTCTAAATACAGTCTAAATACAGTGATTTTTATGGATACCAAAGGTTCGTTGCACAGACACTGTATTAGTTTAGTAAGCATTTCTTTTAGATATGAGTCAAATTAAACTCATTCACTCAACATAAGAATATGACAGTTAAACTAGCTATCTTTCAGATTGTGTTTCAGTAAACTCAAATTGTGTTATTTTTGTTTACAAACGTTGAAATATACACAAGTGGGGCTGGGGATTTAGCTCAGCGGTATAAGTGCCTGCCTTGCAAGCAGGCAGTCATGAGTTTGATCCCTGGTACCGATAAAAAGGAAAAAGACAAAAAAAAAAAAAAAAAAAAAAAAAAAAAAAAATATATATATATATATATATATATATATATATATACACACACACACAAGTATAAGCAATAAATTAGGAACTCAGGTAATAGTAAAATAACTTCTTTTACAACAATGCCACAATGCTTTTTTTGTTATTTTGTCTTTTTGAGACAGGATCATGCTTTGTAATTCAGGCTGATCTTCTGGCCTTAAACTTACCATATAACCCACGCTGCCTGACAATCCTACTGCCTCAGCCTCCCAAGTGATGGAATTACAGGTATGTGCCACCACACCTGGTTGTTTTGTTTTATTTTGTTTTTTGGTTTTTTGAGATAGGGGATATGTAGTTCAGGCTGGCTTTGAACTTTCTATGTTGCTTGGGCTGGCCTCAAACTCATAGCAATCTTCCTGCCTTAGCCTCCCACATGCTAGCATCACAGGCTTGTGCCACTTTACCTGGCACCATGCCAGTTCAACAATACTTTCTTGCACACTGATAAAATGACTATTTTTATAAGCTACTGCACTATTATATAACTCAATTATAATCTTACATTCCAAAAGTAAAGTTTGATGACTAGCAGTTTAATGAGAGGTTACTTACATGACCATTTGCAATGTCTAGTAAGTCTTTAACCCTACAGCCTCTCATGGTCCCCACCTCATTGCAGATAGCATCTTCTACTATTAGGTAGTTAGCCTTGTAGGATGTCAGGATTTTATAAATATCCTCGGCAGATCGCTTTGAATAGATTTGATAAATCTGAAATGATAAAATTAAAACTGATTTTAAAAGACATTGAAAGCTTGTCCAATCACATCCATCCACTGCATTCTTAGTACTGAGCACTATGTTGTGTGGAAAATAAAAATATTTATTAAGACTTGACTTCTGCCCCCAGGAATCTTATATTCATGTTTTGTAATGATCACATTTAATATAAATAAATTAGCAAAAAATAATTTGGTATGGCTGGGCACGGAGGCTCAGCATCCCCATGCTCAGATGGGTGGGTGAGGGAAGAGGGTTTCAAGTTTGAGGCCACCTGGGCAATTTGAAGATTGGCCTGGACTACACAGCAACACCTTATCTCAAACACCACTAGAGAAACAGAAAAGAGACAGGGAGGGAGAGAGGGAGAAGAGAGGAACAGGAAGGTAGGGAGAGGGGGAGAAAAGAAGAGAGGCAGATAAGGAAAGAAAGAGAGAGAAAAGAAAAGAAAAAGTATATGGAATGGGATTCTGAAAACCACCATTTAAAAATGTGAAATGTTCCTTAGATTTGAAGTGAACACAGATGTTAAAAGTTTGGAGGCACTAACACGAACAGGTGTAATTCTTCTGTTTAAGCGTTTACTGTGGAACTAAGTGAGATGCAGAAAAACAAGTACCACATGTTCTCACACATGAAACTACAGAGTTGGCCTGAAAGTAGGATAGTCAGAAGAAGAAAGGGTGGAAAAGGGTGAGTGGATTTCATGAGTGGACACTGTGTACATGTATGGAAATATCACACAGAACTCCTGAGTATTTATCACTGAACAAGTTAATATAGCTAAAAATATTACTGTTATTGTCATCTTTGATCTTTATGTAGTGAATAAAAACTGTATTAAAGAAGAGTTCAAAGATAAAGATCACATCTGTTTGGTAATAAATTTTCCAGGTTTACCTAAATGAGAATATTTAAGCTTCCTAAGGTTGGCCTCAGTGTGTTTCATAGAAATTTAAGAACTTGTGAGAAAGTTTCTGAGGAGAAACTACTAATTTACCCCGGCAGAAATAAAAAGCAAAGACAATATGAGGTGTAATGAAAACATACAGTAAATGTTTACATCTTTTAAAAGGTTTATTGAAAGGTACACTACCGTTAATTCCTGTCTAATTACGTCCCTTCCCTTCAAACACATCCCGTCCTTCTTGCCACTCTGAAGCAGATCTGGAAGTCTCGTGTCCTTAGTGGTGCTGTCATGGCGATCCTCATGTCCAGAGTCAGTACACAACAGTTACCTGTCACAGTACTCTTGACTTTGGGGAAGAGCCAGAAGCCCCATGGTGCCAGAGCTGGTGAATAAGGCAGGTGAGGAGGCATCATCATGTTCTATGAGCCTGTCTGCTGCTGGCTGGCACCAGGCAGCAGAACTCACTGTACTTTTGATCATATCTCGTAAAGGTGCTCAGGAAAGAAGGCCTCCAGAACTGCTTCAGAAAAGGGCAGGAAGGATGGGATAAGTGTGTTTGACATGATGGGGAGATGACGGGGAGTATCATGAGGGAACTGGTGGCAAAGTGGCAAAATGTCTTTTACTGCAATACATTTTAAAAATTTAAACACATTTTTTATCAGACTTTGTGTTGAGATTGTTTTCTCATGATTATAATATTTGTAGTATATAAAAATAAGTGAGCAATAATTTAGACAAGCTTAGCAAACACTAACATCTAAAGAGATGGCTTCATCTCTTTTTTTGCAGTACTGGGGATTGAATCCAAGGTCTCAAGTATGCTAGGCACATGCTTTACCACTAAGCTGCATAACCAGTTCTTTTAAAGTGTTTGAGTCTTATAGAGTTGCCTAAGCTGGCCTTGAACCTATAATCTGCCTGCCTTAGCCTTCTGAGCAGTAGGGATTACAGGTGTGCAGCACTGCATCTGGCATAAAGATGGACTTCTTAAAGCATGGCTTGTTGAAACATCACATAGGATACTCCAAGACATGTATGGTGACTAATTATTGTTTGTTTTTCCAACTGTGATTGATGAAAGCAGGAACCTTAGCAATAGGCAATACATAATAGCACATGTTCAGCAAAATATTTCTGGGCTTATTTTTTCAAAAATGACAAGTTTCCTCATTAGTAACTATTAAAATCTTACTAATAAACTATACTTGAGAAATTCCCACTCTAACACTTGTCATGAAAAAAAGAAAAAATTCTCCAGATTTAAACTTATGTAATGTGGTTTCTTAAATTAGACATGGGATCAGAAAAAGAACATGTGTAGAAAAACTGATGAAATCCAAATAAAGTCAGAGTTCAGTTAATCATATTACACCAATGCTATTTTCTCAGATTTGACAAATGTGCCCGAGTTACACTAAGATGCTGCTGATGTTAAAGGACAGCTAGGTGAAGGACAAACAGGAAATCTCTGTAGTACATTGTATTTACAATCTTTCTTTAAACCTAAACATTTCCCAAAAGTAGAAGGTTACTTTACAGCCTTTTTTTTTAAAAGACAAGAACTTGCTATACAGTGTAGGCTGGCCTTAAATTCACTGTGTAGCCTAGGCTGGCCTCAAACTTACAGCAATCTACCTGCCTCAGCTTTCCAAGTGCTGCAATTACAGGCATGTGCCACCACACCCAGTTTGAAACCTTATTTTAAAAATTCCTGTGAGGCCCTGGGCTGGAAAAGAACCAGAAAGCCATCCTGCCTTTCCCGGGAGCCAGCTGATATGTGGGATGGGAGACAAGAAGAGCCACCTTACCACCCACACTACCGCCTCCCCAGTCCTGTGTAAACAACCGGTTGATTCCCGATTCAGAGGAACACATGAAACAACATAATACTTGGACTGACTGACTTGCAGGACTGGGGCTGGTAGCATCCGTTCAGAGGATAACAATATGCATTAGAGCAACTACGGGGGATTTCCATCTGTCTTGTTTTTGAAATTCTGTGTCATTTTCACTGCTTTATATTATCCCATTTTATTGTTTTGTTTTATTCCCTTCAAAATAAAAAAATAAAAATTCCTAATTATTTAGATTTCTATCTTATGGTTAAAAACAACAGGGCAAGAGGTAAGAGATGTTTGTGTCACAATTAGGTCTGGTCTGGGCAGACTTTTGTTTTTTGAGTGAGGAGGATCAAATCCAGGGCCTCATATATGCAAGGCAATACGTTTGCCAACTCTTTAAGCATGGAATACCTTTTGTCTTGCAAATATAGAGACTTAAAATCTAGCCTGAACCGGATTCCAAACTACTTGAAGAACACTCAGTAGTTTTGTCCTGCTTTGAGTCATGGATGAAGGTTTTCAGGGGCCTTCAGGTTCAATATCCACTGACAGGAAAATTGTGAGAATATTAACAGATCAGAAGGGAGGTGCTTGCTCAGCTAGTTGTGCTAAGTAAGTTTCAAGAGGAATGGGTCTATCTTATCCAGCCTATACCCACTGATGGTTGTTTACACATATATAAATTTCAGGAAACTGTAACACACACTGGGCATTAAAAACATTTCCATGTATTGGCAATGATATGGCTGACAGCCCAGGACAGCTTCTCAAGCTCAGCAGCACCAACACTGTGGCCAGGTAGCTCTCTGCTGGGATAGAATGGAGACTGCTCCAGGTACTGCAGGACGTCTTCTAGGACTCCTGGTCTCTACCCCAGATCCCCACCATCTGCTGTGCCAAACCAGAATGTCTCCTCCAGATGTTGCCAAATGTCAACTGGGGACATAATCATCTCAGGTTGAGAATAACTGGCCTAGGAAATTAGGTAAAGATTGATCATATGTTATAAACTAGAGATAGTGTCTAAATCATATAGTCTTATTCCTGGAGTTCTATTTGGATTTTGATAGAACAATACAGTTATTTGGTATCTGCTATGTATTAGATCACAGAGAAAGATTAAGGTTTGGGAAGAAACATGGGAACATGGTTGCTATTTTCAGAGCCATGGTTACTATTTCCATAAAACTGAAAATTCTAAAATGTTTAAATTATTTAGAACTTCACTAGAACTCCGACCTAATTACAAGTAATTCTGAAAGTCTGTGCAAGGAAAAAGTCTTATCAAAAGAAAACAGACTGAGGCAGGAGGATTATCACAAGTTCAAGGCCCGGCTGGGATGCATAGAGATTTCAAGGCCAGCCTTAAAAAAAAAAAAAAAGAAAGAAAGAAAGAAAGAAAAGTCATAGAATTACTTTTTGTTTGTTTGTTTGTTTGTTCTGGTACCAGGGATCAAACTCATGACCTTGTGCTTGCTAGGCAAGCGTTTATGCTACCGAGCTAAATCCCTGGCCCTAGAATTACTTTTTTGAAATCCATAAATAATAATAAGTTCAGGGGTATGCTGTCTATACTCTGCCTGAGCAACATCTCTTTGAAGTACTGTAATTACTAATCTGAGATGGCTCTTGTCTCCCAGGCAAATCACCCTGAGCTAGCTCTCCCCACTTCTTATCTCTTCCATGCTGGCTTCAATCTGCTCTCTCTGCTGTGACTATAATTAACTTTCTAAAACAGACAGAATCCTTCTATTCCAGGCTTATTAAAGGTCTTTGTCTCCAACTGCCTCAAGGACAGGTCTAAATCCTTCAGCATGACATTGCAGATCCTTCTGAATTTGGGCTCCCTTTTACTTTCTAGTTTTGTGGCCATACAAATTTCTTGTCTTTGGGGCTGAGGATTTAGCTCAGCTGCATAACCATTTGCTTGGCAAGTTCGATCCCTGGTACCAAAAAAAAAAAAAAAAATTTTTTTTTTTCTTATCTTTGTATAACTTTTTTCAGCCTGGAATCATTGACATTCCTTTTCCAAACAAGTTTCTAATCAACCTCCAAGACCCATATCAAAGTTGATTTCTTAGACTTCTGTAGAAGAACTGATTGTGCAGGGCTGGGGATTTAGCTCAGCGGCATAAGCGCCTGCCTTGCAAGCAGGCAGTCGTGAGTTCGATCCCTGGTACCGATAAAAATGAAAAAGACAAAAAAAAAAAAAAAAAAAGAACTGATTGTGCTCGATTTTGGATTTATCTGTGTACTTTGTGTACATGTATATGCATGTATACAAAATTATAATTTAACAGTGCACAATAAAACACTATAATAGCTTACTTTAAATTTTAGTGTGTTTTAAGCATAGCATATTATCTCATTTAATTGTCACAATTAGGAAAAGAGAACAATTATTATTTCCAGAGTCAGTAACTTACTCAAGGTCTCCAAGCTAGTGTGGACAGAACTAGAATTTGATTCTAGGTGCTCTAACATGAGAGTCTACATTCTTAACCTTTTTAGTACTGGAGAATTAATAAAAGCCCGTATTAAAAAATAACCACAAATTTAAATTGAATTTTAACTTGGGAAGCCACTAGGAATTGGCACATTAACTGATAGCTATCGTTCCTTCAATGAGAATTGCAATATTTTCAAAGAAAAGTTTTCCTTTCTAAAATATTACACATCAGTTCCCTGGATACTTGATAGAAAAGTAAATGTTTTTCCTAGAAATATATCAGTACTATTCATAAAACAAATAACTTATTATTTTAACTTTGGGTTTCCCCTTGGTTAAATGTCTTATATAACTTTTAAAAACTAAAGCTAATTAATTCTTCTAAAATTATTTGGATTTACAGCCCTATCATCCTGAATGCACTGATCTTGTCTAAAACTGCTTGGCTTTTTTTTTCTTTTTTTTTCAGTACCAGGATTGAACTCACAACCTCACACTTGCCAGGCAGCCACTCAATGCTGCTGAGCTAAATCCTCAGCCCTGTTTAGCTTTTCTTAGCTAAGCAGAAATATACACATCACTGGAGAACTATATTAAAATAAACAGTGTGGTGAAAGATCCAAATGTAGGGTGTAAAATGCCTTACATTTTCATTTCTCTTGAGAAGATCATCATCATTATAGAGAGGCAAGCTTGTCACCATCCATCCAGTGCACAATTTAATAGCGCCCATTAACTGTGGACTCCCTGCAAACACAGCTGCAACTGGAGCTTGTCGTCTGCAAAGGGCCAAATGATTTACACAATGAAAAAGCAATATGCAATTAGATCATTAATTTATATCAACTCCAAAACACCAGAAAACTTACAATGTAAAATACACTTCAATTTCAATCAGTTTTCATTTCATTGGTGGATTCATCATAAACAAAACAAAACAAGACAAACCTGTGTACCATATGACAAGAGGTGTTTTCAGTGTTGAAGATACATTTTTGAAAAAAGGATGCACGGGGAGAAAATCATAAACACCTGTGCCAGGTAGCAATAATGCTATTAAAAACAATGCAAAATAAATGGACAGTGGCAAGAATAAACTTTCTTGTTGTTGTGGGCAGTACTAAGGATTGAACAAAGTGCTCTATTATTAGGTTATTTCTCAGTCTATCATTTCTTTTCTACCACCTAGTGGTACCTTTAGACGCCTTCATCGACAGGATACCTTTCAGAGTCCCTGCATGTTGAAGAGCATTCTTATTTCTATCATCTGCTGACAGAGGCCCAAGACCAATCCCTTCTCCCACCTGGGAATTAAAATCTAAACATCCTGGCTATCAAGAACATCAACTACTCCCATCCCCTGAAACTTACAGCAAAAGAAGCATTCTCTTGACTCTCTAAATAAAAATATACCTATTCTGTTGGGCTAGGTGGCACACACCTATAATCCCAGCACTCAGGAGGCTAAGGTGGGAGGATCGTTGCCAGTTTGAAACTAGCCTTTGCTATAAAGTGAGCTCAAGGTCAGCCTAAACTGCATAGCAAGATGGTATCTCAAAATGAAAAAAACAAAACACAACAACAAAAACCCTACTTGTTTTAATTCCATATTTCTGGGGGTTTGACAGTGGAAGAATTCAATCTCGTACCAATATTGCATGTTCAAGTCCCTGAAGGTGAGTTTAATTAGGAAATTAGAAATACAAAGTCCACTAAAAAACTAGCTGGGCATGGGGGTGTATGCCTATAATCTCAGTACTTTGGAGGCTGAAACAGGAGAATTACTGTGAGTTCAAGGCCAGTCTGAGTTACATATTGAGATACTGTCTCAAAAAACCAAGCCGAATCAACCAATCAAATAAACAAAAAACTAAATACCCCTAAAAATGCAAAGTAAAATTTCTGAGTTTTATGGGAATTTGGAAAATGATTTCTTTTCCCTGAATCCACTGGATAGCATGTCATAGCAATAGCTAAATTTAATAGCTTAAGAATAGTATTGGAGGGGCTGGGGATTTAGCTCAGCGGCATAAGTGCCTGCCTTGCAAGCAGGCAGTCTTGAGTTTGATCCCTGGTACCGATAAAAAGGAAAAAGACAAAAAAAAGAATATATTGGACAATTCTTACTTTATCCAGGTCATAAGTTCCACTGTATCTGGATCATAGAATTCTTGTAGTTCCGTTAACTCTGTCATTAATCTGGGAAAAAACTAAAATGCAAAACAAAATCCTGAAAAGATAGTGTAACTAAAAAGTTGTCCCACAGAATTTTACAAGACTAAAAGATTAACTTAAAGCAAATGCCACCATAACGCAACTAACCTAGACAAAAATGACATAGATCTCTACATTCTTATATGACCTTCTTAGTTTTCTCTAACCTTATGTTAATTCACTGCCTAGACTCAGTAACTAATTTTAATATTAATAATCACCATTTGTATCTTGCAGGCATACACATACTAAATAAATAATTACATTTCAGGTCAAATAATTTGTAGTTTTATTGTCAATTAGTTTCATGTTACTGAAGAATAAACCCAATCTGGGGGTGATGGTGCATGCCTGTAGTCTCAGCACTCTCTAGGCTGAGGCAGGAGGGTTACCAAGACTTCGAGGGCAGCCTGGGCAATACAGTGAGCTCAAGGCTAACCTGAACTACAAAGCAGACCCTACCTCAAAAAAAAAAAAAAAAAGTCAAAGATTTATAATTTTATAGATATTAAAACTTTGGAGTTATCAAAACATTTTAAAATATTAATTATTTATTCAGTAATTTCTTTCATCAAATGAATTAACCATGGCATTAGATTACAGAAAGCTGCATCAAGTAACGGCATTCTAAAAATGTTTTGGCTCTTCTATCATATTCCAATGACAAAGAACAACAAAAGAAGAACTGCAAAGTATATCACACTTTGTTAGAACAGTGTTTTACATGTTTTCTACCCAAATGTATAAATACATTTTAGTAACTGAAAACCTGGTTCTTACCTCTTTCCATAAACTGAGACCTATTATGGTGGGTACAGCCATGCTCAGAATAAGAGCCTGAAACATGAAAGCAAAAAGGTTTATGAGTAAACATATTTTAGAGGAACACATTAGAGGAACTAGTCCTGACTGTATGAGTGATTTCTTTTTTCCTTTTTTTTTTTTTTTTTTTTTTTTGCACCAGGGATTGAGCTCAGGACTTTGTACTTACCAGGCAGGAGCTTTTCCACTGAGCTAAATACCCAACCTGACCAACTGAATATTCTTACAGCTATAAAAGTTTCAGAGAAAGTACAGTTGGGCTGGGTGTGGTGGTTCATGCTTGTAATTCTAGCACTTGGGAGGCTGAGGCAGGAGGATTATCATGAGTTGAAGTCAACCCAGGCTACCCAGTGAGTTAAAGACCAGCCTAAACTATGTAGCAAGACCTTGAAAAAAAAAAAAAAGAAAAAGAGAAAGTGCAGTTGCCATGGAATCTAGTTTAAAAGTGAGATGAATGAATGAAAGTTAGTTTCAAACATATTAAGCTGGACATAAAGAAGATATACAGATTTACTATACAAATTTAACGGAGACTTAAAAATAATGCACATAGTAATATTTCAAATAGTAAAACAGTACTAGAAAATTTTGCTGTATATTTATGTTATGAAGAACTTACAGGGAATTTTAAACTTCTACATGAAAAGGTAACCTCAACGATAAAAGACAATGAAATAATACATGAAAAATAGCTAGCAGATATTAATGTACTATTATGTCATAATTTCTTTTAAGAATAACACTAATAAGGGGGCTGGGGATTTAGCTCAGTGGCATAAGCGCCTGCCTTGCAAGCAGGCAGTCGTGAGTTCGATCCCCGGTACCGATAAAAAGAAAAAAGATAAAAAAAAAAAAAAAAAAAAAAAAAAAAGAATAACACTAATAAAACACAATATGCTGATGATGATTTATTTATTTTACTTTATTTTTTTGAGACAGAGTTTTGCTATGCAGTCCAGGCTGGCCTTGAACTTACTATATAGCACCAGCTGGCCTCCAACTTGCAGTGACGCGCCCCCCCACCTCAGCCTTCCAAGTGCTGGATCACAGGCATGCATCACCATGCCCAACAATGCAATAATTATGAAACATGATTAATCATTACTTTCCTCCCTAAACCTGTTTTTCCTACTGCCCCAAGTCTGTTGCAGACCTCATGATCCACTGGTCTCTATCTCCTTCTCATTCTTCCATGTTTAACCTAACTTCTGACAACCTTTTCATGTCAGGGTCCCAAGTGTCACCATGCCGCGATCCAGTCTGAATTCCTGACCACCCTTATTGCACACTTTTACGTGTCAACAAACTAAACTGCTCCACGTTTTTTATTTCTTTTGATTACATCATGTTCTTTTTTTACATCGATCTCTTCCATCCTTTTTTCTTTTACATTTGCCTTATAACTCATTATTTTTCAAATTTCAGATTGAAGGACTTTCCACACCTGGAATTACAGGTGGTAAGACACAACTGTAATTCCAGCTCTTGGGAGACCGAGGCAGGAGGACTGCCACTAATTTCCAGGCCAGCCTAGGCTATACAGTGAGTTCAAGGACAGCCAGGACTACATAGTGAGGACCCTGTCTCAAATAAATACATACACATATACATATTATCACCATATTACCTTAAAATGTTTAAAAATATAAATTTAATTCCTTCATCTTTAAAAAAAAATCAGTTAAAAAAAGAGAATTTCTAATGGCCTCTCCTATGATTGGTTCGCTTGAATTTTTACCCTACAATTTTCAATCTGTATAGGTCAAAATGTGTAAGAAAATGTTTCTTGTGTGATCTTTTGTTCTACCTGTAAGTCATTATGTGATTTACTCAGGCTATTATAATTGTATTCACTATTTCCATTATTACCATTTGATTTTACATAACTGGAAAAGAAACAAGTATTTAACACAAAATAACAATGGCTCACCAACAATACTGGATGCACAGTTCTTAATCGAAGCCACTTGAAAAGTGTCATCCAAAGTTCAGGAGAACATACACCAAATGCTGCTAACATGCACACGTAAGGAGTCCAAATATATTTCAAGCTAGAAACGAGAGTCACATATAAGATACCCTATGACCATCATTATCTGAAGGGTTTTTTTTTAGCTCTGTCCTATTGCCTTCAAAAATAACAAAATGTTAAAGGAGGATGAAAACACATAGCCTCTAATATATAGCAATAGGCTGTTATCTAGTTCTTAATCAATAAGACAAGAAAGCTACCAAATGAGGATAAAAGCCTTCATACTGATGGGATTGTAGCAAAACTACTGCTGGAGAGAATATAACTCGTCAGAAATCAATTTGGTGGAATCTATTAAAACTTAAAATAAAATATAATATACAATGACATTTCTAGTTACCTAGCCAATAGACATACTAACGTAAGTGTATTAAAATATATATGTAAGAGTTTTAACTGCAGCATATTATTGTAATGGAAAGAAAAATCCTGGATATTCTCCAATACTAATTAAATAAATTACAAAAAAAAAAAACCTCATATATAGTATTCCCTAGTCTTTGACTTTTTGTTTTGTTAAATGTCAATACCTGGTACACTATTTTTACTTTATGTATTTCTGTATTGTTTGAGTGTGCTATAATCTACATGCATTACTTTTGAGGGTTTTTTTGTTGTTGTTGTTGTTTTAAAATAGGGTCTTGCTCTGTATTTCAAGTTGGCTTCAAACTCATGACTATTCTCTTACCTCAATCTCCTGAGGGCTAGGTGACATTAATTTTTTAAAAAGCAAGGGTTTATAAAGTTGGACTCTTTAAGTGAAGAAGATTAAAAATCCAAATAGTATAAAGCTGAACTTGCAAAAGTAAAACAAAGTACATTACAGTGTAGGTTACAAAGGAAATAAAAAGAATATGGATCTATAGGAGATAGTAAAAGATGAACATGGAAGGGGAAGAGGTGGAGGCTAACTCTGTAACTAAGACCAAGGAGAACAAACCTTTCCATGATATAATCTTTGGTGTCAAATTCCCGTGAGACTACAAGAATGTGAGGCCAGAGCAAAATATGAACTATTAGGTTTTATAAAAAAAAGCACACTATGGAATACAGAAAATAAGGAAAAATGTATTCATTTAATAAACACTGATTGATCATGCATGGACCAAACTATAGTACTAGGAAAGAAAAACAACATAGCTCCCACACTCTAGCAGCTCTTTATAAAACTGATAGAGGAGAAGCTCTCAGAAAGTAGCTATAAAGCAGGGCATGGTGGTGCATGCCTGAGACAGGACTGCCTTGAGTTCTAGAACAGCCTGGGCTACATAGTTTAAGGGCAGCCTGGACTAGTGAGACCCTGTCTCAAAAATCCAAAGAAGGGGGAGGGGGGAGGGGAGGGGGAAGGGAAGGGAAAGGGACAGAGGAAGGGGAAGGGGAAGGAAAGAAGGAAGAAAAAGAAAGAAGGGCAGGCAGGCAGGCAGGCTGGCTGGCTATAAGGAAATCTGTGTAAAGTCTGAGATTATATAAAAACAAAAAATCTGGGCAACCCACTTTCAGACTCCTTCTATTTTAGACAGATACTAGCTTTCTCTCAACAAATTCTTCCTACTCTTTTTTTTTTTTTAGCCAGTCAAATTTAGCAGTGGGGGGATGGTATACCAACTTTAGTGACACTAATGTTAGTAAGTTCTAATAACCCACTGCCATCGGACCAGCCGAATTCTTCCTACTCTTGAAAAACAAATGGAAATAGCTAATTTGAGAAGAATGTAGCTAATAACAGTTTTTAAAAAGTAGATGCTGATCCTCAGGTTCATAAGCGTGATGATTGGGTGTTCATGCTCTATGCATGACATGTGCCTCCTTTCAACCTTGTTACGACCTTGGCACATTACCCGTCTGACATGAAAAAAAAAAAAAAAAAAAAGTAGATGCTGACTCAGGCCCTGTAAGAAACAGTGCATAGGCACAGTCTACCTGCTGCAGAGACAGAGGAATTCCATTGTTTTCCTAAGCTCACTCAATACTCTATCTCTTTCTACCCTCATTATTCTGGAAATAGCAACCTGTTTGTCCAGTCAGCCCGAATCCACATTAGATTTGCTTCACAGTTCCCAGAGTCATCAGCCACACTGAATTTTATATACACAAAGCCCCCTGGACACATCACCCCTCTCAGGTAAGACCACTGATGCCAGATCCACTCATCTCTCTGCGTCAGCATGACAGTAATATTTCTACCTTAGACACTCTTCCCATTCAACCACATGCCAGATGAACTTTTTTCAAACATCTCTACAAAATACTCTAAATTTTTTCCCCCATATTGCGAATAGAACTCATGACCTTGCACTTGTCAGGCAGGTGATTGCACCACGGAGCTAAATCCCCAGCCTAAGATATTTTCTATTTAAAAATATCAGCCCTGTGTGAAAGTACATGCCTGTAATCTCAGTATGTGAGAGGCTGAGGCAGGAGAACTGCGTAAGTCTGAGGCAAGCCTGGGCCACATAGTGAGCTCAAAGCCATACTGAACTATAAAGCAAGACCCCGCCTTTAAAAAAAAAAAAAAAGACAAAAACAAAAACCACTTTTAGAGTGGCCAAGAGCAGGGGCACATGCCTGTCATCCTAACTACTTCAAAAGCAGATACAGGAGGATTCGGGTTTGAAGGCAATCTTGGCAACCTATAGTGGCAAAACCTATTTGGGGGTGGGGGGAGAGCTACAAACTTCTAAAGATGATAACATTTTTGGGCCGGGGATTTAGCTCAGCAGCATGAGCACCTGCCTGGCAAGCACTAGATCATGAGTTCGATCCCCAGTACCAAAAAAAAAAAAAAAAAAAAAAAAGATGATAACATTTTTCCACTTCCATTTAAAAAAGAAATTAAACACATGCATGATGGGGCTGCAATTCATGTCTCACTGCTGAGAGGCTGGAATGACCTGTAGTACATGTGTGACTGTCCCACTGGGTGGCTTTCAATTAATTTTATTAGTAATAAAACAAACCAAAACCAAAAAAAGATAGAAGTGATTAGATGTGTATGAATCACTCAAAGGGACTATCATGCCTGTATACAGCTGTTCAAACACATGCTGTTCAAACCAGCAGGAACCTATTCAAACAGCTGCCCTCGTTCCTAAATGCTCATCCCAGGCCAAAATCTGCTGCTTTTCTACTAGCAGGAATCTGAGCTATTTGCAAGCAAGGTTAACTCCAAATACTCATCCCTTGTTTCTATACTGGATCTCAGGCACCAGGCCACGGTAGAGGAAGATCTTGGGCTCAGTGAGGTGTAGGGTAGTACACAGGAGGCTCTATTATTCACCTTGCAAACCCTGGCTAACCACGGGAGCAGGGGAGGCAGTGATTAGACATTCTGCCTGCTTGATGATATAGTTCTTTTTGCCTGAGATTGTGAAAAGCATCAAAATATGTAAAGAAACATTTGGATAAAACCATTGTGCTGAAATACAATTTGGCAGTCCTCTAGTTTCGGTCTGGAAGGCAGAGGACATACTCAATGGCACACAACTTGAAACAAGAAATGATGAGGCCTTGGAGTAGAGCTCAGTAATACTGTGCATGCCCGATAGACATGAGGCCCTGAGGTAGATGCCTTACACCACATACAGACGTGCACACACACTCAAGCACACACACATGCTCCCACATGGGGGAGACTGGGATAAATCACAATTTAAATAACTTTAATTAAATACTTTTAATTAATATGTAAAGAGCCTCATAAATAATTCCTCATTATATTTATTTCCATGTAGCCTACCTATTGTGAGTTAACTTAGGTCAAAGAGAGATCTGGTCTTTGCCCTGCACTCCTGAGACATAATCAGCTTGCTTAATAAAGAGTATTACTGTTTTGGCAAGAAAGTGGCTCACTGGCAGAGTGCTTGCCTGCTGTGTTGAATTCCTAGGAATCTCCCCCACAAAATAGAATATCTTAATTTAAGTGGGACAGCTGGGTCATGATTGATAGACGAACAATAGAGATTATGATGAGGGCCTCGGGCTACACAAAACCAATTCAAACTGTGGAGCCACTGGAGGATTAGCTCAACACACTGGGTTGAGCACATACAGGTCACTGCTATGGATTTTATTCACCTAGCTTGGAGAGAGCCTGGTGCATAGGTGGGGCTCTTGGAAGATGACTGACCCAGGAAAGGTTTACCTCCCTTCTCTCTCTGTTTCCTAACCGCCCCCCCGAAATGAACTGCTTTCCTCTGCCCAGACCTTTATGCCATACTGTCAACCATGCAGCACAGCCAAAGCTAATCTTACCTTCTTTAAACTACGGGTGTTAGGTATTTTGCCCGGTATTTCAATAAAAACTGAACACAACACACAGATGAGCTTCCATAATTGATGATACTCAATGTACACTGCTATTCCTGAAAAACAGGCACTGCTGTGCAACGCCATGAGATAGGACCAAGTGTGTTGGGTCTTCTGGACCCTATCTTCTGTGCCTCCTTCTTGTGATGAGTGGAACTGAAATGAACTGCAACTATGAATATAATGACTCTCCTCGGTTCTGAGTCCTAGTAAGTCATGAAACCTAAAACCTTTGGGAAACCCCAACCTGCAAATGGCATCAGAAGGAAGGGTGGTCTTGAGAACTCCTGAATGCTACATTTAACACTCTTAGCCTGGAACTTCTGGAAAAGAATTCTAGCACACAATTTTATACCTACTACTACTGCTAAGAGTAAATTATACAAAAACTAAAAGCTTCTGAGTTTTATAAAGTCTGTCAATAGGTTGGCATGATTTTCTACAGAAGCAGGAATAAGGGAAGTTTGAAAACTAAAGACTTAAATAGTGTAAGCAAGACAAGGAGGTGCTCACCTATAACCTCTGCATTTAGGCGACTGAGGAATGAAGACTGCAAATTTGAGTGATGCCTGGACAATACAGGCAGAACTAAAAATAAAAAATAAAAAAGGCCAAGGAGCCAGGGATTTAGTTCAGTGGCATAAGCACCTGCCTGGCAAGCGTGGTTGCAAGTTCGATCCCCAGTACCAAAAAAACAAAGTCAAGAAAGCAGCTCAACCCCTCCTACTACAAAAATAAGTAAGATGTGCAAGACATGTTTTAAAGAAACCGAACTCTTGCCAGGCACAGTGCTGCACAGATGTAATTTCAGCACTGAAGCTGAGGCAGGAGGACTGCTGCGAGTTCGAGATCAGTCTGGGCTACAGTGAGTTGAGCCTGGGCTACACAGTGAGACTCTACTTCAAAAAACTGAAAAAAGGAAAAATGAAAACAAAGTAAGAAATCAAACTCTCCAAATAGCTATGATAATAACTTATCTGAATATTAATAGTCTTACACTGCAAAATGATGCTTTCATCAATAATGACCCACATACATGACAACAGTGCCACAAAATTATATTGCCTAGTTAAGACAACAGTAGTCTTAGTTTTGGTCAGCACATCCTGTGAAGTTTGCACAGCAATATAAGGGTGCATTTCTTAGAAAGTATTCAGACATTAAGTGACACGGCACTACCCCAATGCCATTTGCCTTAACAAATTCAAGAAGGTACAAAGAACACTAAAATTATAAGGCAAATAAAATGCAAACATCTACATAATTGAGCATTAAATGTGATCCCACCTGTATTTTATTAAGGGTTCATTTTCCATTTACAAACAATAAAAGAAATAAGGTGAGAGAAAGGATGAATGGAAAGCTGGATCCACCCCCAAATACTCCACAAGGTCCAGCGCCAACCGCACACACTGCACCCTCCAATGCTCAGCTCCTGTGGTCCCAGCAATGCACCATGATCCCTCCCACTGCGCAGTCCTTCTACCTGGAATGCTCTCCTTCTGCTGCTCACAAGTTCACTTTGCCTCAGCCTTCAGGTCTCAACTCAAGCATCTTTCTGTAGAGAACCCTTCTGCTTTCTTTTACTCAACATTGGCTTTTTAAATGTTTTCACAACACCTTTAATGTCTTCTTTAATTATCAAGCTATAATTTTTTTTTTTTTTGAGACAGGGTCTCACTGTGTAGTTCACACTGCCCTTGAACTCAATGTGTAGCCCAGGCTGGCCTTAAACTTGCAGCAAATTTTCCTGCCTCAGCCTCCTGCGTGCTAGGATTACAGGCATGTGCCACCAAGTCCAGTGCTATAATTTTATTTTTGTGTGATTAACATCTGTCACCTCCTCTAGACCAAAAGTTACATGGGATTAGAGGTTGTGTCCATTTTTGCTTACTGCTGTACCTTGAACATCTAGACTGGATCTTAGAAGACATTCAATAGCTTCTCAACAAATGTATGTCAATTAAATACCATTTCATTGTGCTATAAAGACTTTTTTTGTGATTTTCTTGTTTCAAGTTGTACCCCCATTATAGTAAGAAAGAATACAGGTTCTAAATTTTTACAAACTTCTACAAGTACATTTTTGAGTGTGCCCACTTATTAATCATTAGAAAGGACAATCATCAAAACAAAGAAATCAAAGTACACTTACCCTTCTAAAACCATTGCAAGAGAACCCAATAAAATAGTGTGAATTACATGATAAATTATTTCTGGCCTTTCTCCAATTCGTCCATCTTCAAGTGTAACAGTTTCTTTCAGGGACCTACCACTATGAGGAAAATATGCTTTTTAATATTTTTAAATTAATTACAGTATTTGAAACACTGAAAACACTTTTCATCATCCTTCAAGATCATACTTAAAAATGTATTTTCTTCATAACAAAATCATAGGTAGTCCTTAAAATTTGTAAGTATATTCTACTAGTCAAATATCCAACATAAGATATATCATGCACAGGTACAAATTCCCGATGGTGAATGTTATCATTATATATATGTATCTAAAATACACCAATAAAATAAAAATTAAAAAGAAGTAAAGAAAGAAAACAAATATCCAGTGTATGTCTGTCTTTACTAATTTCTTTTGCTTTTTTTTTTGTTTTTTTTTTTGGTACTGGGGATTGAACTCACAACCTAGTGCTTGCCAGGCAGGTGCTTATGCCGCTGAGCTAAATCCCAGGCCAACTAACTTCTTTTATGGACTGCAGACAACTGATTCTGTGGAAATTGAGAATTTTCAGGCTTGCTCTGAGATCATTTATGACTCAACTAATAATTGCTGTATCAATATAGTTAAATCACGGTATAAAAAAGATATTAAAATTAAGAAGTTACACAAACCCTCCTTTCAAACATGATAAACAGGCATGATGGAACACGCCTGTAATCCCAGTACTTGGGAATCTGAGGCAAGAGGACTGCTGAGAGCTCTAGGCCAGTCTGGCCACATAGTGAGTTCAAGACCAGCCTGATCTAATAGCAAAACCTTGACTCAAAGAAAAAAAAAAAACCAAACATAAGAAACATTATACAATGGAGCATTAGTCACAAAGACAAACTTCAAACATTGCTAGGTAAATGGATGCATCTTTAGAGCATACTCTTAAGTGAAATAAATTGCATTGTTTCTCTAGTTTGAGGAACTGAAAGTGTAAATAAGGACCAAAATGTATAACAGGAAGAAAACGTTCAAACGGGAAGAGGAACCAGGGAGTGGGGAGGGGAAAGGAAGGGAAAAGAAAAAGAAATAAGAAGGAAAAAAATGGAAACAAAGCTTTTATAAAGGAGGGGAAGAGGAGTAAAAAGGGAGGGTAGAGAAATGGGGCAAAAAAATAAAGTAAATCATGTATAGGTACAAGTCCCTTTGATGAATGTGATCATTATGTGTGCCTAAAATGTACTCATAAACTTAATTTTAAAAGCCTAAAACAAAAACGAAAAAAATTTTAGAAAAAGGAAATATAGTCAATTTATAAATTAAAATCACTTATGCTTCCCAGTATTTGGGAAGCTGAGGCAGGAGGACTGCCATGAATTTGGGGCCTGGCTGGGATACATAGTTGAGTTCCAGGCCAGTCTGAACTATATGGTAAGACCTTGGCTCATAAAACCAAAAATATGAAATAAAATAAAATCACTTGTTACTTGCTTCATTTCAATTAAATGGATAAAATTATTCTATATTAAGATTTTGAGTAAATTAAACTGTAAAAGTTCAACCTATTAAATATAGACATGCATATCTACATATATAAAACTAAACAGTTTTTCTGGTCAATTTACTGTTGGTTTTTTTTTTTTTTTTTCATTTTTATCGGTACCGGGGATCGAACTCACGACTGCCTGCTTGCAAGGCGGGCACTTATGCCACTGAGCTAAATCCCCAGCCCCCTCTGGTCAATTTACAATGACCAATGAAGACAGAATGGAATTAGAGGACTGAAACAAATACAAAAATATCAGCAGAAAGTCTGGAGGCTCACACCTGCAGTCCCAGACACTTTGGAGGCTGAGGCTGGAGGGTCACTTGAGCTCAGGGCTTTGTGGTCAGGCTGAACAAGACAATAAAACCTCATCTATTTAAAAAAAGAATGGGGCTGGGGTACCGCTCAGTGGTAGACTTTGTGTTTAGCAGGCATAAAGCCTCAGTTTAACCCTTAGCACAAGAAAAGAAAAAACATATATGTATGTTTATGTATATATATATATATATATATATATATGGTAGCATGTATATGTATATACATACACAAAAATATATATGAAGCTTATTCAATATTTTCACAAAATGTTAGTGCAATTGATTCTCACATGTACTTACTTAATCCTCCTAAAGATAACTTGCATCACAGAAAGAAGACAAATACTTAATACTAGAATATAAAATGGTAATAAAGAAGATTGTGTCAATCGCAAAAAAAAATCTTGAGATGGTGTCTGGAGGGATTCTTGACAGAGGAGCCAATTCATTGTAAAATTCCTGGAGAAGATAAAAAACATGATATTAAAATTACTAAATGTTTTATAATACTGACAAAAGTATTTCTAAATCTTAATAAAAGCAGACAAAACACATTTGCTATATTCATTCATTCATTTATAACTGCAAGGTCTCACCATTTATAAACAAATATAACAGTATTAGCAACCCTCTTCAGCAAGGCACACGTCATCAAAATCGCTCTTTTAAATGTGAAAGTGCTACTTTTTATTACCAAATAACGTGACCATCTTCAAAGCTGAATTTGAGGTTTTCTTTTTTGTTTATTTTTTGTCTCTTTGAGATAGGGTTTCACTATGCACGTCAGGTTGGCCATGAACTCACAGGAATCCTCCTGCCACAGCCTCCCAAGTGCTGGGATTACAGGCATGTATCTAGTTTGATAGTTGGCATTATATTGTAAAACCTTTACTATTCATTATTCTCAATGAAATACAGTCTATCAAGACTTATCCTTTTTTTTTTTTTTTTTTAGAGCTCCATGCCTGACCCAACTGAGTTTTTATGTAATGATTTCTATCTTTATCTGAAAGATAGCAAAAATTCAGTGGGCAAAATTTCAACCTCTGCATCTGTGTTGGCAGATATAGCAACTACCAGCTGAATGTGACTGCTATTGAACACTTCAGTTGTGACCAGTTCAAATAGAGAGGTATTTTAAGTACAAAATACACTCAGGACTTCAAAGAAAAAGAATGAAACAAAGGATTGGGAAGAACTACAGCTGTATTAAAGAGACTGTCAAAACAATCTTTTTTTTTTTTTTAATTTAAGGAGAAAAAAAAGCAGAGAAAGGGTACAAGTTATACAGATTTACAGAAAAAAATAAACAGTAGGAAATCACTAGTTAATGGATTACATATTGTCATCTTAGAAATAATTGTTCAAGTTACAAAATTAAAGCTTATACAGTGGACGTTCCAACATTGAGACTGCAAACAGTTCTGTTCAATGATCCAACAAAACTCAGTGATATCATTATCTTATACACTTAAATATACATGCAGTTATATCGTTTAGAGCACTATCTTTTCCTCTCTTTTGTACAATGACAATTACACATTTTGGGTTTTGTTGCTCCCACAGTTCTTATTACTTTTTTGGAAGAGAGGAGAACCAAATGTGACGTAACAGAACAGATTCAGTCAAATCAAAAGGGTGGACATAATAGATAATGTAAAAGCATAATACAAGGTGATCAACAATGGTTACCATAATGCCTCCCGCTATCTCTAATAGAATTGCCTATATCATCAGTTATAATAAAATTGAACAAAACAGTAAAGAACAAAACCGACAAAACCAAAACATTGGAGACATTATAGGTCTTCAAAAGTAGATAATAGTCAACCAGAATGGGCGTCATAATGAATCCCACTATCTTCACAGCTGTTGCCTAAACTTTCGAACCTGGTACTATCAAGCAAAACAGAATAGAGGGACATCAGTCAAAACAAGATGGTGAGAGCAATACAGGGCTTTAAATCAAGAAATATGGAAAGTCAAAGTGGGTTACTATAATATAACCTGCTATTTTTTATTTATTTTTCCCTTAATTAAAAGGATAAAAATAAAAAAGTAAATAATAAAGTGGAGATTGAGATAAAAGAGGGCATAACAGCAAAACAGCGTAGATCAAAACAACCATTTAAGCAAAATAGTGTTTCACCACAAGATAATCCTGACATAAAAGTAGTTACCATATTGTCTCTTTCCTTGAAATTTTTCAGTATAACTTCGTATATTGTAGCATCAAATATATCAAAACAATGTAAAACCATTTAAGAGAATGACAGTATTACAGGGTATTTAGAATCAACTAACAGAAAATGAACAATGGTTTCTGTATAATCTCTTTGTCTATAAAAGTTTTTGCTTATACTATCATACATAATAAAATCCAATAAGATACAACCTGTTTAGACCATTGGAGACAGAAGAACAAAAGCTTGATGAGACTTCAAAACAAGATGATACTAAATCAGTATTACCTCTTAAGATGTCATTTTCTCCAAAGTAGCTGTTCCTATCATCCAATCTTCTCTGCCTCATTTCTGTTGAGCTCTTTTTCTGTCATTACCTGTCAGTTTGTCTTCTTCATTTTGTTTTCTGCTCCATTCATTCATTGTGGTCTCTCTGCCACTATTTCTGGATTCTTCGTATTTTTCTTTTTTAGAATATCCTGCAGTATTCTCTGTAGAGTTGAATTGGTGGTTGCATATTCCCCTAGTTCCACTTTATCCTGGAAGCACCTTGTTTTTCCATCAATTTCCAGGGATAGTTGTGCAGAATATATCAATCTTGGCTGGAGATTATTATCTTTCAAAGCTTGAATTATTTCCCCCCACACTCTGCATGATTTGATGGTTTGTGCCAAGAAATCTGTAATTCTGATGGATGTTCCCTTGTAAGTGATCTGTTTCTTGTCTCTGACGGCTTTTAATATTCTGTTCTTGTATTGGATTTCTGGAATTTTAATTATTATATGCCTGGGTGTTGCTCTGTTTGGGTTGTAGGTGGCTGGGGTCCTGTATGCTTCATACAACTGAGTATCTTTACCTTTTGCTAAATTAGGAAAATTCTCCTGGATTATTTCTGTGAGCAGCTTTTGTATTTCATTTGTTTGTGTCCCTACTTCTTCTTTTATGTTCTTAATTCTTAAGTTATGGATCCTCTTACCATCCTCTAGTCTTTGTATTATTGCTGTTTGTTTCTTTGTTATTTTTAAGAAGTTTTTCATTTCATTCTCCCATATTAGAAATCTGCCCTCCAGTTCAGATAACCTGTCCTTAGTTTCTTTCAAGCCAGTTTTCGATAGAGTTTTTAGTTTCTTGGTAATCTCTTTGAACCTGCTTCACATATTCTATGCTTTCTCCATTTTCTCCATCAAACAATTCTCCCCTCTTTTTCTGTTCTTCCATTCCACCATCTGTTTTTTCTTGGGTGGTGCTTAGCATTTCTCTAAATATTCTGCTTATGTCTAGCTTCAGGTCATTAATAACTTCATTCCTGAACTTGTCTATGAGGCTCTGGAGATAGCGCTTTATATCTCTTGGTGCTGTGTCTGCTATTGTCTCTTTCTCAGGATTGGGGGCTGAGGACCCTTTCTTGTTGCTGCCTCATCCCATATTCTTTGTTCCTCATATATGCAAGCGTATATAGGAGGCCCAGCATCCTTCCCCATCATCCACAGTCTGATTGAATTGCACCGGCTAGGTGTTCCCGCCGACCGCAGCACACCAAAAAGTTGCAGACCAGGCAGCCTATGCGGGGCCTGCCCCTGCAGGTCACCTTCAGGCGCTGGGATCTGGGTTGTGCTAGCCTACTGGGTCTCAGCCAGCAGCATCATGTAGGCTAGGCACTTCTCACCAATCCCGCTTGAGAGGGGGATACATGGCTGAAGTCACTGCAGCGCCCTGTTCCCACAATGTCCTCTGTTGGAGTATCCTAAACCATGGAAGAGACCAAGTTTCTCTCACTCACCGCAAGTCAATGCATAGCTCCCCGCCCGTCCTGCTTTCAACTCTGTTCACCGCTTCCCGTTCTCAGAGCTTCCGTGTGTCTCTTTCCCTGCCGAGCCGATGCAGATGCAGCAGCGGCGGTGGGAAATCCAAATCGCAGCTTCCAATGCTGCGGGCTCCAGCTTCCAAACTGAGGCTTTCCTGTTCCTGTTATAGCACCAGGATTGCATTCCCAATTGGTTTCTCTCAGCCCAGTTCGTTCTTGGGTCAGCAGGGCATATCTCCACTTGCTTATGATTCCTTACTCTGCACCATTCCTGGATTCTAAGCTGGGTCTTTCAGAGAGCCTCCATAGCTGCTGCTATCTGTCCACCATGTTCTCCCGGAAGTCCAAAACAGTATCTTATGCCTACAATAAGGCACCTTATCTTCCATTAGAAGGTTTTTTGTTTTTTGTTTTTTTTGTCTTTTTCCTTTTTATCGGTACCAGGGATCGAACTCACAACTGCCTGCTTGCAAGGCAGGTGCTTATGCCGCTGAGCTAAATCCCTAGCCCCCCATTAGAAGGTTATTAACTATAATGTCTATAACAAAAAACAAACAAACAAATCCTGTAAGGTCTAATTCCAATCCAAATTTAATGAGTATACTTCTCATTTCCCTTAGCATTGATCTTTCCTTCCCATATTCTTTTTTTCTTTTCTTTTGTGTTCCTTTCCTTTTTGAGACGAGGTCTCACTGTCATTCAGACTGGTGTCGAATTCCCAGCCTTAGCGCTAGGATTACAAGTGTGTGCCACTGTGCCCAGCTTCCTCATTTTTTGGTGGTACTTTTACTTGTCCTTTCTTGCACTGCATAATGTACAGTCTACCTTGTGTTAGACTGCAGTTGTTAATGTTTCTGTATCAGTAGCCTAGTACTGTAAACACTCAATAAATATTAGCATTTCTTTGGTAGTTCTTGAAAATCTATCAACAGAAATGTTTCTGAAATTCTAATCTACTCCAAAACTAATTAGCCAATTGACATATTTAAGCATAAGGCAACTGTTTATATCACCCATGTCACTGAATGTATATAAACAAAGGAGATGGCAAGTTTCTTAAAACACCCAATGCTTTACCTCATGAAGCAAATCTAGTACATGACGTGCTAAACAGGGGTGTTACACAAACATCAACTAATAAACACTGGCTCAGGGAGCAGCCTTTAACTTTAGAAGTTTCTTGGCTGAGCTCGGGGTTTAGGAAACAGCTGGTGGGAAGGCCAGTCCCCTACTGCACCCATCTTTACTTCTCATATGCCTGGAGAAGACACTGTCCCCCCACGCTAGAAGAAAAAGCAGGTGTATGGTCTCTTAAGGGATCTATATCCCAAACACCTTATTTGTAAACTGTGAAATATCAGCACATGAAATTCTACTCACTATATTTACAATCCCATACAATCACAGAAAATGAGAAAAAGCTACTAAGGTATATCAGGTAAATGTATGATTTATTATCCTCTGTCATGCCAGAAAACTATTGGGACATAAAATCATTTATGATGCTCCAGATGTAGTTCAGGTGTCGGGCGCTAGCATAAAATCATTTCATTTCATTCTAAATCAAAAAATAAAACAAAATCAATTTAATGATGACAAAAATATAAACACATTCTTTAAAACAATAAAAAACCAAAACAGCATCTGGCCCAATTTTTATGATCCCAAGATGAGAGTCTTAGCTATAAAGTAATGTTGTACTGTTTAACTTCTCCCTTTTAAAGGTAAGCATATGGTTGATGTAGGGGTTAAAATTACCTTGGCTCTTTATTGATTTTTTTTTTTTTTCCTACCATGCTGGTAATGAAACCTAGAGATTTACACATGCTAGCTTGTCAAGCACTCTACCACGGAATACAACACCAGCCTTCATCTACTGTTTGTTTGTTTATGTATTTATTTACTTATTTAGGTTGCTTTGAGACAGAATCTTGCTATGTAGTCCAAGTTGGCCTCAAACTCATGGCAATCCTCCTGCTTTGGCCTCACAAGGGCTAGGATTACAGATGTGCGCCAATATGCCCAATCTATGTCATCATTCTTTATCAAGGGAAAAGGTAGCCTTAAAATACTGCAATACTATGAAAGTTTATCTAACTTTTAGAAAATTTATTGATTAATTGACTGTGATACTAAGAATCAAATCCAGGGCCTCAAGCATGCTGGTCAAGCACTCTACCATCCAAGCGACATTCCCAGCCCAAGAAAAATATAATGTCACATTTCTTCTATATACTGTAATATCCCAAATTAATTATTTTCTAAGTGATAGTGTAATTAGTGTACTCCCGCCATTTTGTATATTTGCTTTTTATTTTCTAAGCAGTAAATTACATAATCAAAAACTTACTTTGTCATATTTAGCCCAAATTTTACTTCAAGGAATTTGAGCACGTGCTCATTTTCCTTGTGTGGAACAAACATCTAGAAGAGAAAAACACTAGTTAAACCAAGAAATATGAGCTACACTTGCAGCAATGTGTTTTTTCTCCAATTACTAGAGACAGAAAATACAGCAAGGGCCAGTAATTTAGCTTAGCAGCGTGTTTAAGTGCCCTGGCAAGTTTGAGTCTGATCCTGGGCACTAGAACGAACAAACGAACGAACAAACGAACGAAAGAAAAAAGAAAGAAGGAAAGAAAGAAAGACAAGACAGACAGGAAGAAAGAAAAAGAAAGAAAGAAAAAGAAAGAGGGACGGACGGGGACAGGGACTGGGACGAGGAAGGTGAAGGGGAAACGAAAGGGGAAAGGGAAGGGGTGGGAAGGGAAGGGACAGCAAGACTACAAAAATATGAATTAAGTAATACTCTATATAGTGTTATTTATGAAGCAATGAGATTTATTGGTAGAAATCAATCACATCACCTTACGCTTAGCACAAAACTGTAATTAAATAGAATACTTTGATCTAATCTCACCCACTTATTTACCCACTCATTTTTTCCCACTCTTATTTACCCTTTTATTTATCTCAATTTATCCCATATAGTAATTAGGTAATGATAACATATTAGACACAAAAGAAAGTATTCTTTTCTCAAGCACACAGAGAAAAGAATCAGGTTTCTTGTTTCTCCTCCAACATTCTAAGTTTTTCCCCTTTTGCTTTTTTTCTCTTTCTCTGTACGCAATATTCTAGTTTTATAGTTGGCATTATATTGTAAAACCTTTTACTATTCATTATTCTCAATGAAATATAGTCTAAGTATATCAAGACTTAGACCTTTTTTTTTTGAGACGAGGTCTCACTATGTAGCTTAGGTTGACCTTGAGCACACTATGAAGCCCAGAATGACCTTGAACTTGCGGCAATCCTCCTGTCTCAGCCTCCTGAGTGCTAGGATTATAGGTATGTGCCACCATGCCTGGCTAGACTAACTTGTTCAATTTGCTCTACTGCATAAATCTCAGAGAGTTACTTACCTTTATTATAATATTCAATGTCACTGGCAGAGTACATACTAGGTAAAAATTAACCACTTTCATGATTTTAGCTGCAAAAGTTCCTTTCTTCACATTCAGCTATGGTAGAAAAAGCATATGAACAAAGAAGTGAGATATAAAAAATTGACAATTTAAAAATAACAAGAATAAAAAGACGATGATAATTACCTGAAGGCACTTAGTAAGCATTAAGGCAGCTACTAAACTTAATAAAGGAGACACTAACAACGCTGGATTCTCAAACTGCAGTAAATATCCCAGAAACAGAGAAAACATGTAGATTTTATATACCTCATGGACCTGTTAGGACATAAGAAAAAAAATGAATTTTATTGCACATTTTTTCATTAGGTTTGTTTAGGACAGGTCAATGATATAATAAAGCCAGGTGTTGGCCACACCTATAATCCCAGTACTTAGGAGATGAGTTTGAGGCCAGCCTGAGCTAAACAATGAGTTCAAGGGCAGCCTCAGAAAAAAAGAAAAAAAGCCAGGCGATGTGGTGCAATCCTGTAATCCCAGCACTTAGAAGGCTGAGGCAGGAGGATTGTTATAAATTCAAGACCAGCCTGGGCTACGAAGTGAGCTCAAGGCCAGTGTGAACTGCATAGCAAGATCCTGTCACAAAAAGACAAGAAAGAAAGAAAGAAAGAAAGAAAGAAAGAAAGAAAGAAAGAAAGAAGAGACAAGAAAGAAAGAAGAGACAAGAAAGAAAGAAACAAAGAAAGAAAGAAAGCAAGCAAGCAAGCATATCGTAATTTAGGACAGTGTTATGAATGTTCGATCCATATCTTTAATGTTATAATTTGCAATGAATGCATCACTTTCTTAGAGCTCTCCAGAAACAAAGAGCTTTCATGGAAGACCCTTTCTCTCCCTCCCTCCCTCTCTCTCCTCCTCTCTGCTCCCCCTCTCTACTTGTACTAGGGATTGAACACCAGGTGCTCTACCCCTGAGCTACAGCTCTAGGTCCTTTAATTTTTTTTTTTAAACTTAGAGACAGGGCCTCACTAAATTCCCCAAGCAGGACTTGCACTAGCCACCCTCCAACCACACCCTTCCAAGTGCTGGAAAAACTTTTTTTCTTTTTGTACTGGCGATTCAATCTATGGCCTCTGCATTTAGCTATGTCTCCAGCTCTTTTTTAATCTTTGCATCTACAGACAGGGTCTCACTAAGTCACTAAGTTGACCAGGCTGGGCTCAAACTTGTGGTCCTCTTGTCTCGGATTCCCAGAACACTAGGGGATTATGGGCTTGTGCCGCCATATCCACTGTAAGAACTTTCTTTAATGCCATGCTCTGAATTAATTTAACCTGGTTAAATGGTTTTTCCTGTTACTGAAATTCAACTATGTAATCTCAAATTACATAGATCAAGAATCATTATTTTAGCAGCAGTTTCCTAAAAGTACCAAGTGAAAAATATATTGCAATGAAACTTACCACCAGAGAAGAGGGCTAGTTTTTTATTTTGGTTCAATTAACAGTGAGCAAAAGAAAGTTAAATTTGATATCCATCAGAAACCTCCTAGTAAGTTATATGTCTTAGACTTTCTAAAATTGAGTAATATAATGATTTAACATATTGTGAAATTGATTTCAGAAAGGGAAAGCCAAGTTAAAACACAGCATCAGTTGGAGAAAAATCGAAGAACAGAGTACTAAAACTGAAAAACAAAAGACAAAAAAATATCTCTAAGAAACCAGAGCCATGTAAGATCCCTCACTGCTAGAGATAGGACAGGAGCTCCCATGGGGATACTGGGGTGGTGATAGGTCGCAGCACACGGAGACTTGTAGGTGCTATTCTGTTCTGTTCCTGACTTAGGTTGGCCCCCTGGATGTGGCCCACCCTTGAGAAACTCTTAGCTCCAAACCCCCCCTCTACCTTCTGTCCTGGACTGCTGAGGCTGGGACTCTGTGACTGGCTTCATCAGATGCTTCCGTGTAATTCCTGCTAGCCTGGCTCACTCATCTAAGTGATACTTCACCCGACACAGCAAGTCCTTCTTGCTGAAGCTATGAACACAGGTGCAGTTTTTCCAGCATTTGAAAAACCCACTTCATTACATGCTCCAGGTCCAGAGACTCAGAAGCAGCAGACCTGCGCTCTAGCCTCAGACACCTAAGTCCCAATTCCAAAGGGCATCTCCTCCGTGCTCAGAAACACCAGCAAATCTCAGCAGCAGCCCCTCCATAGAAACCTGAATTCAGCTCCATGGGGTCCCTGCTCTCAGTGTCTGCACAGTAATAATTCCATTTTTCTTTTTGTTCCCTCAGTAGTGGTGGTGGCAGCTGTTTCCTGCAGGTGCTATCTCTATGCTACTTTTAGGCTCTTATTACCCTTTCAATTAATCATTTACTACATTAATGACTTTATGCTTGGTTAACTACTGTTTTTTGTTTTGCTAGGAATTGAATCAGTGCCTCACACGTGCTTAGCATACACTCTACCACTGAGCTACAGCCCCAGCTTGGTTAAATTCTCTCAGTTCAGCCAGGCAAGGTGGTGCACACCCATAATCCCAGCACTTGAGAGGCTGAAGGAAGAAGATCGCTGGGAGTTCAAGACCAGCCTGGCTACGTAGTGAGTTCAAAGCTAGTCTGGGCTACACTGTGAGAATCTGTCTTAAAAAAAAAAAACCAAACCAAACCAAAAACTCTTCAGTTTGAATAATTTCAACATTGGTAATCACCAGCTGAATTTAAGGGATGAAGAAACAAGATGGGAGGTTTTAAGATACAATACTGGAAAGCCATTTATTTTCCAGATTTAAATATATCATTTCAAAACATTATAATACCTTGTCACCTTGCTCCACTGAAAAGATATCTAACAGGAACAGAGATACTGCTTGAAGAAACAAGAGATAGTGGCTGTACTCCCACATCATCATAAAGGTATAAGTTGAAGCACTCATCAATAGGTAGCAAAACCTCTAGGGGAAACAAAAGAAAAAGAAACTATGTATCAGTAGCTTTACTACAGATTAAAAGCTATGATGTTGTTACTTCAAAGTTGCAACTCTGTTATTGGTTGAACTTTATGTAACTCTTGCAGCTATTTTTAAATCATGTAATTCTTGTAAATTCTTATAAAACAGATATTAAGGTACGTAACCACTGTATATTGACATTATATTGAAAATTGCAAAGACAAAGAAAAAAAGAAAAAGAAATTTCAGTATAATTTCCCTTTGTCCCAAAAGATATAAAGTATATTTATAGAACAAAATAGTGGTGTTTACTAGACTTCACTGGTGAGCTTTGTTAATGTAGAATGACTTTTTTTACCCTGTAAACAACACTGTATTTTTACTTTCACGGTGATTTATATTTTCCTAAAACCTACAATTGCTTTTTTTTGTTGTTGTTGTTACCAGGAATTGAACTCATGACCTCATACTTGCCAGGCAGACAGTTATGCCACTGAGCTAAATCCTGGGCCCCTAAAACCTATAATTTAAAGAGTCTGAAAAAAAGACAAAAAAAAAAAAAAAAAAAAAAAGACAAAAAAAAAAAAGCAGCCATTGGGGCTGGGGGTTTAGCTCAGCGGCATAAGTACCTGCCTTGCTAGCAGGCGGTCGTGAGTTCGATCCCCGGTACCGATAAAAATGAAAAAGACAAAAAAAAAAAAAAAAAAAAAAAAAAAAAAAAAAAAAAAGAGTCTGTTGGTTCACCCTATTCTGGGTCTTTGCTCATAATGAAACTGTGGCCTCACCTTCCCTCAATGCTTGTACTGTCAACTATATAAAATTCTTAGCTGTTTTCCTCTGCTAAATACTAAACATGGAGATTTCGTTGCCTTGCCTAAAATATGCATAGTTAAAATCAATTCCAACCTTCTAAATGATCTTTTAGTGAGTAGCCACTGTCATGTAGTATATTTCCAGCCATAGTTACTCCTTCCTCAATAGAGCTACTTTTTAAAATTCCCAGGTCTTTCATCAGCTGTGTCAAATAATCTCATATTAACAGAACAGTGAACAAGAGAATAATAAATGTCAGGTTAAGAAACCTAAGAACTGTGTCTTCTAGAGCTAAATCCTTTATCTCAGCTGACTATAATCAATGACAAATGATAACAGCCAGTAATATCTTAGCTATTAGCAGAGAAATGAATTTTCCACCATCTTGAATATGATTAAGACCACAGAACAAAATGTAGAAGTTGGCAAAATTCCATCAGTTAGTCAAATAATATCACTGCAAAGCTCAGAAGGGCTCTGCATTGATAAAGCACATAAGCTTACATTGTGCTTCTCATCACATCTATACTTGCATATGGAGGTGTTTTTTTCCTAAAATTTTCTTTGTTCATGTTTGCAGTACATAATGATTTTACCCATCACGGGGAGTTGGACATGTACCTAATGACACTTTTTTTTGTTTTGTTTTGTACCAAGGATCAAACTCACAACCATGCACTTGCAAGGCAGGCACTTATGCTACTGAGCTAAATCCCCGGCCTCTTTTTAATTCTTTACCTCTTCTTTCTACTCATGGTTTCTTGGTCCATAGGGAAGGCGCTCTGGAAACCCTCTAATATTTAACAACTGTACTATGATAACCAGGCTGGAAACCACTGAACGCAGAGAAACTAGTTCCAGAAAACAATGAAGACTCAGGTCTAGATAAGAGCCTAACTAACCTACCAGGCATTTGCAGAGTACTTGGGGGACGGGATCTTGGAGAAACATTACAACATACTAAAACAAAATACTAATTTAAGACTTTTTCTCCAATTCCTCTTATGAACATGCAGAAAAAAATGTCTTGAAGCTAAACATTCATCTTGAGAGTTAGCTATGTTTCCTCTTTCCTTAAACATTTCCAAAGTTCTGCAGTCTTCTCTACCCTCCCCTCTTCACAGTGTCCCCCAGCCCGCAGTGCTTCACTTTCTCTGTGTCTCTGGTGTGAGCATTTCTATAAGTATGATTCAAGTGACACATGTAATAAAAATGGTTTCAGCAAACAGCTAGATCCTTCCACAAAAGACATGAACTTGGATCGCTTGGGAGCTAGCCTCAAGAAAGGGAAGCAAACTACAAAATACGTCATTTTTAAAAGTTCATGTTCTTGGAATACTACTCAGTGATGACGAGAAGCAAAATACTACTACATACAATAACTCAGATGCCTAGTCAGGCATTACAGTGGATGAAAGGGCTACTCTCAGCTTATTAAAAGTTACATACTATATAATTCCATTTCTACCAACTTTCAAAGTAAGAAAAATACATGATGGAAAGCAAATCAATGGTTAACAAATGATTAGATTTAGAGGAGGATTTAATTTATCAAGGGGTGACATGAGAGTTGTGAGGATAAAAATGTTTTATGTTTTAATAATAAATGTGACACAAATTATACAACTAAGCTGGGCAAGGTGGTACATATCTATAATTCCAGCTTATGCAACATAGTGAGAGTTTACCCCAAAACAAAACAAAGCAAAAACAAAAATAAAACAAAAACTCCAACTAGCTATGTATGTTTCCTCCCAAAAAAGGAGTGCGTATAAAAGCTTGGTGAAATCTAAAGGTCTGAAGCTAAACTAATAGTACTATGTCACTGTGAATTTTCTTTAACTTCTTGTGAATCTAAAACTCATTCAAAAGAAAAATATGGAGAAGGGAGGGAAGGAAAGAAGTAGAGTGAACATGATTGCAACACTGGGGAGTTTTATTTCTGGAAAAAATGTACATTATAAGGTGGGCGTGGTAGCACACACCTGTAATCCTAGCACTCTGGGAAGCTGAGATAGGATCATAAATTCAAACATCGTTTGCACAAGTTAGCAAGACCCTCTCAAAAATTATGTATGTCTATAAATGGTATCCTTTATTATGTAGTAACTAGGCTTCACTGAAGAAAACTCACTATGACTAGCTTTATGTACCACATTTGCAATATATGAGAATTAAGTGTGATAAATCAAACAGATTTGTGTCTTACCTCTGCATAAGTATTTAAATTGCTTTTTAAATAGCCTGTAAGCGCAGCAACTTGGCATGCAAAATATGGCAGTGCCCAGTTTTCTCTTAAGGGAATGGAGTATTCAATTCTTGTTGTATCTACCCTAAAATAAACCACAGATGAACAGCAAAAGCAAGATATTACATTTCTGTAACACTACTCTTTCAAAGCACTTTTATACCATCTCATTGTTCTCTGTAACAGTCCTATGAGGCAGCCAAAGACTGAGCCACCACAGCAGATACAACACCACTGAGCAAACTAACAAGGTACTCCTCTTCCCACCCAAGCAGGTGCAGCACCCCTGAGCTCTATGTGCTTAGGAACTGTGAAGGGCACACGGCTCTGGGCAGGCACACTGCTCTCCGCACAGGTAGCCAGGATTTCAGCACCTATGCCCTTCCAGGATGGCCATCCCACTCTGGAGCACAGCTGCACTGCAGAATTAGCAGCCTGGCGGACTCCAAGTTCCTGTTCCCCTTTACAAAAGGAATACGGAGTCCAGAGACATGACATAACCCAAGCAGGGTCATACAGATAAGTGGCACAATGGGGTTAGATGTGCATCTTCGACATCTAATTTAATAGTCTTGTCAGTCAACAGGTCATCCAGAATTAACTCTATAATAGCCTTTTTTCTGTGCATTTATCTAAGGGCCTTTGAAAATAACCAAAACAAGTACAGAATTGTAGGATCCTCTCACAGAATTTGTAAGCTCCTCCTGAATTTCCCCTCAATCAATTTTTGCTGAGCAGCTACTGTGTCCTATGCATTCTGTCGCACTGCAACAGGACCACCTTCCCAGTGATTACTGCATTTGGCTCTTTTACACTCAAAGGTTATTTCACACACAAAAACGAAGGTGCTAGTGTTTTCTTAAAAATATATGAGAACTGTTCCTTAACTCTCCTACATAGCAGAGATGGCCAGGCTTACATGCATGTGGCTTACTGAATGGCCAAGGGAAACACACCTGCATGCTGTTACTAGAGTTAGTAAACTTTATTTCTTACGTCAAGTCACCTATAGTCTTTTCTAGGCTTTAAATCTGACCTATTTTTGGTTGAGTACATCATTCAGTAGTTAAGCAAAAATAAAATGTTTACTTTGGAAAAGAGATAAGAACACAGTTAAAACAAAACAGAAACAATGGAGTCTTACTAAAATTTTGCCTATTGATATGCCACTGTTCTGTAACACACTCGTTTGTATCCCATGTAAATAAATACTTCACACAATCAGGCCTGGAAACGTACTCTGAGGTAAAGCACTTCACTAGCATACACAAGGCCCTGGATACCATTCCAGCATCACACAGACATTCACACACACACACACACACACACACACACACACACAATTTTACATAATCATAATTTGCCAATGAATTTTGATTTTGCTTTTTAAATTTGTATGTATTTTGCATGTTCTTCCATTCTTCATGCTTTTTTTTTTTTTTTTAAAGGATTAAATTCAGGGCATCATACATAGTAGACAAGCACTCTACCACTGAGCTACATCCTTAGCACTTTTTTTTTTTTTGTTTTTATTTTTGAGATAAGGTCTTGAGTGAGGTGTGGTGGCACACTCCTGTCATCTCAGTACTTGGGAGGCTGAGGCAGGAGAATCGCTCTGAGTTCAAGGCCAGTCTAAACTGCATAGCGAAACCGTGTCTCAAAAAGAAAAAAAAAAAAAAAGAATAGAGAAATAAGGTCTCAGCAAGTGGCCCAGGCTGGCCTTAAATTTGCAGTTCTCTTGCCCCAGCCTCTCCAGTAGCTGGGACTATAGGTATATACTGCCACACTGTCATATGTACTTATTTTTTAAAAAATCATTTTGTATAATAAGACCAGTATTTTGGCACAAAAATATTAGAAAATAATGCCAGGAAAAATCTCTTCTTTTAAAAATAGTAATCCCAGCACTTGAGAGGATGAGGCAAGATGATCCCTGAGTTTAAGGGCAGTCCCAGCTACAAAATGAGTTCAAGGCCAGCCTGAACTGCACAATGAAATGCTGTCACAAAAAGAGAAAAAAAAACCTTTTTAAACACATATAATCTCATCTACTCAAGAGACCACCATTGTTAAATTTTCTTCCCTATATAGCCTACAATACAATGACAAAATTAAAACTCAGCAAGACTGGAAAGCAAAATTGTTTATCACAGAAGACAATGCACATGTCAAAAACCCCCTAAAGTATCTATTTAAAAAAAAACTACTGAGGTTATTAAATTCAGCTAAGCTGAGGGTTACAAAATTGATACACAAAACTCAGCTGTTTTATATGCTATCATACTATCACAGATTATCATTTATAGTATCAAAAATATCAAATATCCATAAATAAATCTAAAGATAAGTGTATAAGATCTCTATGTTGAAAACTATAAAATGTTGCAAGTAAGTCAGAAATGGGGAGATAAAGCATATTTTATGTATCATGGAGTGAAAGACTCAATATTAACATGCCCACTCAATTTAATCTATAGATTCTATGACATCTTAATAAAAATGTAAACAAATTTTCTTGCAAAAGAAACTAAGCTGATTGTAAAATTCATCTGAAAGTAAAAAAGATCTTTTGCCAAAGTAAGCTGGAAAAGGAGAACAGAGGTTTGACTTTTTAAAAAATGAACTACTTTGGGGCTGGGGATTTAGCTCATTGGCATAAGCACCTGTCTTGCAAGCACGCAGTCATGCGTTTAATCCCGATACTGATAAAATACACACACACACACACACACACACACACACACACACACACACAAATGATCTACTTTTAAGCTTTACTAAAAAGTAAGTTTAAGTTGGGCGTGGTGGCTCACACCCGTAATCCCAGCACTCGGGAGGCTGAGGCAGGAGGATCCTTGTGAGTTTGAGACCAGCCTAGGCTACAAAGTGAGATCAAGGCCAGCCTAAACTGCACAGCGAGACCCTGTCTCAAAAAGACAAAAAAAAAGTAATGTTTACTAATACAAAAATGGCACTGGAATTAGAATATACAGATCAATAGAATGAAACAACCCAAAGACTAGAAAGAAATCCACACAAAAATAGTTTTCTCATTTTTAGTCAAAGTGCTAAATCAAGGCTGGGCTTGGTGGCACACATCTATCCCAGCTACTCAAGAGACTAAGGCAGAAGGATCACAGAGTCAAGGCTGGCCTGGGCAATTAGGGAGATTCTGTCTCAAAGTTAAAAAACCAAGAAGGCCTGAGAATGTAGCTCAGCACTCTCTGGGTTCAATCCCAGGTGGGGAAGTTGGGTGTGCTAAGTCAAAACTATGGTAAAAAGAAAGTCTTGAAAAATAAACGCTGGTATAGCAGGATATCTATATGAAGAATGAATGTAAACCATTATCACAAATCATACATAAAACTTAACTTGAATGAATAATCATTAAGCCTAAAAGCCAAAACATAGGAAAATATCGTTGGAGTAAAAGATTTCTTGCACAGTACACAAAAACTTTAGTTGTGAAAGAAACAATTGTTGATTAAAAGACACCATTAAGGGCTGGAGATTTAGCTCAGAGGCTTAAGTGCCTGCCTGGCAAACACAAGGTCATGAGTTCGATACTAGCTCGGAGTACTTGCAAGGTATGCACAGGTCCTGGGTTCAACCCCTCTCCAGGGAAAAACAAACAGAATGTTTTACCAAGATCACTAATTCTCCAAGTGTAATCTTGTTTTCATTTTAATGATATTTAAACATCATCATATAACATACTCTCCAGCCACCTTTGAACTTAGTGCCGCAGGAGTTTCTGTGTTTGTTTTTGAGTTTGCCTTTGCACTATCTAGCAGGGAATTTGGTACCAGTGCTCTAACTGCTTGGGCTAATCAGGAAAAAAGACACACTGACAAATTAAAAATAAATCATCTCCTGATCACTGTGGTAAAAACACTTTTTTGTGGACTGAACAAAGCAAGATGATGGGAAGTGAGGCACTCAGAGCACCGACAGTCACCTTCTTAAACGCCTCTTGCTCTGGCACTGCATTCACACTCCCAGCAGCAACCTGACTTCATGAAAATACCACTGTTCAGTTAAAATGTATTTTAGTGGCTTGTCATTTTATTAGTGCACTGGTTTCAGTTTTTTAGTATACAAGCCCTTTTGCTCTAGTTTGGTTTTTCTCTCCCTGCCCTTCCCTTTTTTCCCTTTCTCCATCCATCTTTCTTTCCTTTTTTTTCCCCTCTTCACAGTGCTCAGACCTGAAACCAGGGTTTTGTACATGCCAGGCAAGCATCATACCACGGATCTACACCTTAAATCAAAATGCAGATTCCATGACAATGGCTGAAACCGTGTATGTGCACACATACATGTGGTACCGTGAACCCAGGGCTTGCATGAGCTAAGCAAGTGCTTTAGCACTGAGTCCTAGCTCACTTTACTAGAGTATTAAATACACAGAACAAAAGTGTCAGAAACAGTTACAAGACATGTGTAAAGCACATGTCTTTGAATTTTTTTTTTTTAATTTTTTTTTTTTTTGACTTTTTCATTTTTATCGGTACCGGGGATCGAACTCACAACCGCCTGCTTGCAAGGCAGGTGCTTATACCGCTGAGCTAAACCTCCAGCCCCAAGCACATGTCTTTGGCACGTCAATGTACATATTACATATAAGAATTGAAAACCAATTACGTAATACCAATACAATGACTATTTTTTTTCACTTGCACTGATGTGTTATAATTTATGTAACCATTCTCCAATATTTGGTAGATCTAAGGTTTTATATCATTTCAAGTAACTATTTGTATTATTATCATATTATTACAAACAATATTATAATAAATAAATTCAAGTTATGAACTCTAGCTTTTTGGATTACTTCCTTGGAATAAAATGGAATGTGTGAGGAAAACTGAAATCTAAAATTGAATAATGTTGCTTCCTGAAATTTCTTTGAATTTTCTAGTATATCTACATCTTTTAGGTTAAAGAAACAGGATACATTTTTTATAACCTTGGATCCCCTTCTGGTGTTAAACAACAAGTAACACAAAACACTGTTAAGAAAACTACTAATACTCATAATGTATCTGGTACCATGTGAGCATGGTTTGCGCCTTCACCATATGATAG